TTTCTCGCCTGAAGACGGAAGCAGATTCTACCTTCCGAAACGTTGTAGTTTTATTGTGTTATAATTTAGATGAACGAAGTTTTGAAGAGAACAATTTTACATATTATAACTCACCCAACGTCAGAAACCGTCAGAATAAGCCTGTTATGGTTTACATGCACTCCAACCCTATCAGCTCCAAAGCTTTCTGCCGACTGTGTACAAAGTTAAATCAGTGTTCCCTGCTTCTTGTCAACTGTGATACAACATGTGTTGTCATCATCAAATAGGACTGCATTTCCGTTATAATTATTGAGTACGGTAACAATTTTTCTACGAAACCAGGTTATTTCATACGAAGAATGAGGGAATGCCTACTCACCATCGCAGCATCTGGTGACAGTTCAAGTCCAGCGTCTGAAATATGGTAAGAAATGAGATAAACATTGCCAATATAAACTCGCTTGTATTAAGCCCTATTATTTCTCTAATAACTTTGATAGGAATATTTAATACGAAGTGCCAAGATCTGGTTATATTCCAATTTTACGTGATTTTTGTGGGCCTAAAGGACTACCTTATAATATTTTTATTATTTTAAATGTCAGTGACAGCAGCTGGGATCGAACTACATAGCCCTTAAATATTAATCGCTAATTCCCCAAACCATTGTAAGGGGAAAATTCAAAACATTCGAAAACGTAATTTTCTGGTTCATTTATAATGCCTTCACTTGTAGACGAGTACTCACTAGAGTATTTGTGTTTTTCATTATTGTATTTTATACCTGCCTTGCGGACTAATACTTTAAAATTAAATAATTTAAAATATATTAATTAAACAAATGAACAGCTAGTCTTACAAGCTTTCTTTTAAGTAATTTTCTCCATTACTCTGTACATCTCTCATACGTCCCCTTACTACATTGCCTTCAAAATATCTTTAAACAACGCCTGTCCTTCCATCAGGGTTGGTGACCAAATTAGGTAAGTAGCTCATTATGAATGTGGGAAAACGTAAACTTTAATTTGTAGACAGGCATACGAGTGTACGTTTTATTAGACCACACATCACAATGCAGCAAACAGCGCTCGCAACGCTACGACAGCAACAACTCCTCACCTGGGAAGGCGTGATCAAAATTTTTCCAGCCGTCGTCTAGAGAGTTCGACGATGTCGACGAGGCAGTTAGCCCGTTTTGGCGTTTCGTGAGACAGCGAGCATGAGACAGCACAACACAACACTGAGTGTAATTGCGATGGTGGAACCACTCCACGTCTGTCAATTACAAGTGGTGTCAGTCCCAGTATACTGCATTGCTTACTTCTTTTAGCTCGTGGTTTTACGATACCTTCACTGAAATATCTTATTTAAAGATGAACGTAGTAATTAGTACTTAATTCGCAAGGCAAAAGATACCCGGTCAATGTCATAATGAAACATGAACGCAATGCATCTGGTGCCAATCTTGAAGAGACACACAGGAAGAAAGATAGCGAAACGTTAATAAAAATTAGAGAAAAAGGAACAAAACAAACAGCGAGAATGGAAAAAATATATAAACTGTAAGATAGAGAGAAACAATGAACCAATACAAAAGCTATGTAATCGCGAAACGACGAAATCTGAATCTACTGCAGTTTTTGACAACCATGAAGCGAGAACTTAAATGAGTCACACAGACTTAAAGAATGGGAGAAGGCAGTCGAAAGAAGGATAGACAGAAATAAAGATAAGGACAGGCAGATGGGAACGAAAAATATATAAAGAATAAACAAATAAGCAAACAAAAGATAAGTAGCAAATATCAAGATAAAATGTGAATATATTAACACAGTTTGTCCTCACCACGGAGACACAGTTCTCACAGTTGCATGCATCTACAGAAAATGAGAACAGACAGAAATAACGAGAGAGAAAACAAGGAAAGATAGATGAAAGAAAAGGAAAGTACGATAAAGATACAAAAAGACAACGGAAAGAAATGAGTTGCTGACAGTCGTACTCGGTTGAGTGTCGGTTAGCTCACTTCTCCACCAAAGTGTCGACATAATCACATCCGCCGTGTTGATGGCCAACTGGCGCCAGGACTGAAGCCATTTTGGAGGCGCCATCCTGAATCTCGTCTATAATACGGTGATGTCATAACAACCATGCCACCTCAACACAGAGAACAACGCCCAAACCATGTTACCTCTTCTTCTAAAGTTTTCGAGATTAACACCACATAAATTTCGCAACCTCAGATCAATTTAGCCGCCATTTTGGGATTCTGAGGTTTCGCCGTTTTGGAAAAAATAATCCTAGGACACCTTTCTACAGCATGAACTGTCTCAGTGTTTCAGCCTCAAAGGGCAGAGCGATAAAACTAGAAACGAAGGAAGCGATATATCGATTACTACACCAGACTCATTCGACTCCTTCCTTAACATTCCTCTCTGTTCTAAGGCGCATGGATACGATGGTGGATTTATGTCGTATAAGTACTCTATAGATTATAAACAATAGGCTTAAATGCAGCAGTCCGTATAAAATGGATGGGATATAAAAGTCTATATAAAATTTAAAACAGAAAACCTGAATAGTACATAATACTTAGAAGACCTAGGAGTACAGGGAAGAATCAAGTTAAAATGGACATAAACAAGTGGAAAATGAGAGTGTGTGAAATAGACTAATCTGACTCTGAATAGGGCCTACTTTTGGGCTCTTATAAAAATTAAAACAATCTTTTTTAATCCACAGGAGATGGAGAAATGTCTTGAATCGTGTGCGACTATCACCTTGTCAAGAAAGAATCTAAATCAATAACTATGACAGTCTACAAACAATATGTCCCCTCACTGCATTTCATTCTATACCACTGAAAGTTCTAGGTCTACATAAATCGTCATGTATTTAAGATTTCAAATTTGAGGTTATCATGACGTTCAAGATTTCGTCTTCTTGGCTGTGACGCCGTGTAGACTTCTAGGTAGGTCTATAGACCAACGTTTCGGAGAAACACACTACCCCTATCTTAGCCCTGAAGATGGAGGAAATGTTTTCTCCGAAACGTTGATATATACCTATAAGCTCACATGGCGTTACAACCAAAGAGACGAATATGGGCGTGGTTTAGGCATACCCGTAGGATAATTGGTTCGATTATGGTAAGATATAAATAAACTGACGGACGTAGCAAAGACCTCTGATACGTCGGTAAAGTTCTACTAGACAACGCGGCGCAACAACTTATAAGACTCGCAGCCGTGTGAACTTGAAATCTCACAATATGTGCAATAATTTTTATAAGAAAATAACCTATTAACCTTTCGAAATTTGTGTAAAAAATCTAACGAAGTTAAATCCGTTCAACCGGAAGAGGTATTCGAGAAACCCTCGCATCGCGTTGTAGTTTCCGAAATAATTTTTCTCGCTCAGTGAACGGAAACAAGGGATGTCATGACGAAGATGGATTTTTTAAATGAGATATTTCTTTTTAAACGCAGTGTGACTGAAGATGGTAAAGCAGAACGATTCTGTCGAAAACTGGCCACTTTAAAACCAGCTAAAAACCAGCTTAAACTCAATACTTAACTGAAACTGTTGCTTACACCAACACAGCAAAGAGGGACATGATGGGTAAAATGCTCGTCTAGAAGAAAATATAATTCAAACATCACGTAAAGAGAGAGCGTCCATGTAGCCAAATATTTACAAAATTTCACTTCCGTAAGAACTGAGATTTATAATTTTAGTATTACACCAAATTTCATCTAAATAAGTTGCTTCATGCGAGCGGACAAATACAAAGGATGAAATAACGAAAATAAAAACTTCTTATCTGCACACGTGCAAAGATTAATTGATCATAAATTTCATAAGCATCTAAATTGTGCAGTCTTTAAAGTATCCTACGCTAAAGTGCACTGATTATTCGTTACTAACGTGTGGCAACTAAACCTAATCCACTATTTAACTAACATCCGTTTTATGATTACTCTCCCATACAAAGCAATGTCTGCAAGAGGTATTATCCCACATGATAATCAAATAACATCGCCGATAGAATAATGAAAATGTCAAAAGGACTGATATAATGCAGAGTTAAATTAAAATTAATTAAGACAGAGTGTAGAAAGCTGCATATGAAACAAATACTACAGAAAGCTGAGTGTCTATAAACAATGCTACGCCAACCCCTCCACGCCATTACTGCATCATCATACTTCAGACAGGGAGGCCGGCCTAAGCCTCCACCCGGTTTGAATTGCAATAATTTCCCTTGTCGTGGAGTAATTTCCATGTTACACCCTCCCTCCCCGCTGCCCTCTTCTGTATCAACCTTCACACGAAATCGACTTCTTGTCTGAATTTCGTGGAGATGATGCATCAGTAATGCACAGAGCCCTACAATCGCTGAAACATGTACACAAACTACATCTATAGGCACCTGAATTTAAACAGACCTCACACATTTCAGACCGGAAAATATTAACCCCTTCCCTGACTTTTACTTTCATTTCAGTACACACCCTCCCACCCTATTCTCCCTATTCCCTATTCCTTTTAATATTATCTTCTCGTAAGTTGTTTTAGTATCTTGTCATCACATTTCGATACATAGGAGTTACGTTGTAGGAGAAACGCAAAAAACTGTTGAAACTGCTGACAGGTGGTAGGACAAGTTATTTTACTGTTTTCAGAACGAAATAAAACAAGTCTAGAACAGCCAATGCTTTTAAAGAAGATTTGTCTCGTGGGTGGCGCAGAAATGATAACAAGCTCTCTTAAAAGTTAGGATTATTTGCAATTATTTGGTTAATTTGGTCATTCCTATTTAGCTACGTTGTTTCAACTGTATAAAATCAGGCGTATATCATCAATGAGATGTGAGAATAATGTTGAATCGTAAAATTTCAGGAGAAATTACAGTAAATGTAGAACTGTATCCTACATTATGTTTCGGGAGTAATTTCTACATCCCTGAATATGAAAAGCATTATCTGCTATATAGTTAAAAGCCTTGTACATTTCGTTAGGGAGTTCGCTCGATTCCTGGATCTTTACAAATGCTTCGATATAGAACATCCATAACAATTACCGTAGAAAATACCAACCATTTTAACAAACCCTTAAGTGAACTGAAGATGTCAGCTGACAGTGGTGATACTGAAACTAATAATAACAGCGACAAGTAGTGACATGTATTACCAGCGTCCTCATTCTGACAGTCTACTACGTGCGGTCTGTAGGCACAGGCTATGCGCGAAGACCTATGCACACTTCGGTGTGTGGAGGATGACTGCCGATGCAGAGAAGGGATAGCCCATGTCAAAAAGGTGTTATAACGTTATGATAGTATAACGTGGGTAGCGATGGGGTGGGGTAATGACGCATTCAAGCGCACAACCCTCTAGCAGCCACCCAGTTAG